TTCTTGGGGATTTCAACATCCCTGTCAACCTTGACAACCCAGACACAGCCCGTCTCCTCCACTTAACCTCCTCCTTTGCACTTGCACAGTGCATACAATCCACCACCCACTCCGACGGGAATATCCTTGATCTTGTCTTCTCCAACCGCTGCGCTCCCCACAACCTCACTAACACCCCCTTCCCTCTCTCTGACCACAACCTGATCACCTTCTCTATCTCCTCGTCCTCCAACGCCTACCCCTCCAAATGCCACACTACTACCAGCCGTAACCTCCGCAACCTTAACCCTGCCCCCCTCCACTCTGCAGCTGATCAACTCCACGACCGCATCCTCCCCCTGTCCTGCCCCGACTTGGCTATGACTGCCTACAACAACGCGCTGTCAGCAGCCCTTGACTCACTAGCGCCTTTAACCACACGCAACATCAGACTCCGACCGCTCCAGCCCTGGCAGACTGATCACACCAAAACCCTCAAACGATGCAGTCGTGCCCTGGAGCGACTATGGCGCAAAACAAAATCCCAACAAGCTTTCACCTGCTACAAATCTGCCTTCCGCACCTACACCTCCTCCCTCCACGCAGCCAAACAAGCCTACTTCCTGACCCTCATCAAGGCCCTCTCCTCCAATCCTCGCCGACTCTTCTCCACCTTCAACTCTCTACTCTCTCCACCCCCACCTCCACCCAGCACCTCACTCACCGCCCTTGAGATTGCCAATCACTTCAAAAACAAGATTGACACAATTCGCAAGGACATTGCCGCAACTCACACGCCCTCTCAACCCGTCCCCTCTCACACAGCTACCCCCCTCATCATCCCCCCTCGACATTTACCCGCAGGGACTTCGTCACTGCTCAAACTCCCTCCAACCCCGTTCCCCCTCACTCAGCTACCCCCTCATCACCCCTCTCCCACGGCCCCACCACTGCTCTGACCTCCACTCCCACCCCACCCTACATTCCTCATACTGAAGCTCCCCCAACACTCCACACCTTTGACCTTACTACCATCGAGGAAGTCTCCAAGATCCTCTCTGATGCCCGCCTCACCACCTGCCCCCTCGACCCTATCCCCTCACAATTCCTACGACCTCCCTCCCCCTCCATCCTACGCTCCCTCACCCCACATCTTTAATCTCTCCCTCTCCTCCGGCACTTTCCCCCTCCCCACTGAAGCATGCACACATCACCCCCATACTTAAAAAGCCCTCCCTGGACCCCAATGACCCGAACAACCTCAGACCCATCTCCCTGCTCCCACTTACATCTAAACTCCTCGAGCGTCTCGTCTACACCCGCCTATGCTCTCACCTCAACGACAACAACCTCCCTCGATCCCCTACAGTCTGGCTTCCGCCCCCTACACTCCACCGAAACCGCCTTACTCAAACTCTCCAACGACCTTCTAACCGCCAAAGCTAATGGCCACTATTCAGTGCTCCTACTCCTTGACCTCTCTGCGGCCTTCGACACAGTTGACCACCCCCTCCTCCTCAAAATACTACACTCCCTCGGCCTCAGAGATTCTGCTCTCTCCTGGCTCTCATCCTACCTGTCACAACGCTCTTTCATCACTTAACATCGTTACCTATAATGCTACCACCTCCCCCTCACTCCCCCTCTCTGTTGGGTCCCTCAAGGCTCTGTCCTTGGGCCCCTTCTCTTCTCCATCTACACCTCCTCCCTTGGCCAACTCATACACTCTCACGGCTTCAACTACCACCTCTATGCCGACGACACACAAATCTATCTCTCAACCCCCCACCTCACCCCCTCGGTCTCTGCCCAAATCACACACCTACTGAGCGACATATCAGATTGGATGTCGCTCCACTTCCTTAAACTGAATCTCTCCAAAACCGAGCTCCTTGTCTTCCCCCCAGCCCGAACCCCACCCCCCATTGACTTCTACATCACATCCAACAACGCCAATATCAAACCCGCTCTGCAGGCCAGAGTACTTGGTGTCATTCTGGACTCCAACCTATCCTTCCAGCCCCAAGTCCAATCTTTAACAAACTCGTGCAGACTCCACCTCCGCAACATCGCCAAAATCCGCACGTTCCTAACCCCAGAAACCACTAAACAGCTCATCCACTCCCTCATCATATCACGACTCGACTACTGCAACTCCCTCCTCACTGGCCTGCCTCGCCGCTGGCTATCCCCGCTTTAGTCGATCCTGAATACGGCTGCCAGACTCATTCACCTTTCCAACCGCTCCATTTCCGCCACCCCCCTCTGCCAATCCCTCCACTGGCTTCCGATTGCGCAACGGATCAAATTTAAAATCCTAACACTGACGTACAAAGCTGTCCACCATACTGCCCCGAACTACATCACTGACCTAATATCCAAGTACCGCCCAGCACGCACACTCCGCTCCTCACAAGACCTCCTTCTCTCTAGTTCCCTGGTCTCCTCCTCCCATGCCCGCCTCCAGGACTTCTCCAGGGTGTCACCCATCCTCTGGAACTCCCTGCCCCAACCCATCAGATTATCACCTACTCTCCTCTCCTTTAGGCGCACCCTGAAAACCCATCTCTTCAGGGAAGCTACCTCATCCCCTGCTAACTTGCTGACCTCCTCCACTCTTCCTACCACTCCATCCCCCACAGCTATCTCCTCCTGTACCACTGCCCCATCCCTTCTAGATTGTAAGCTCGAAAGAGCAGGGCCCTCGATCCCCTCATGTTTTGCATTGTATTGGTATTGTTCTGTCACATGTTCTGTCCCCCTTTGTAATGTACAGCGCTGAGTGAACTATTGGCACTGTATAATAATAATAATAATATATATATATATATATATATATATGTGATTTTGCGCACCTGTGCCGCCCTGTAGCAGTATTTCTGCTATAGGGCGGTCAGGAAGCGGTTACAGAAGAGGTAACAGAAGAGGTTTGTGTTACGTCGCTGTGTTACTTTAACTGACAATTGGGCGGTCATGCAACACTGCACCCAAATTAAATGTATGTCCTTTTTTCCCACAAATTGAGATTTCTTTTGGTGGTATTTGATCGCCTGTGCGCTTTTTATTTTTTGCGCTATAAAAAAAAAAATGGCTGACAATTTTGAGAAAAAAAACAATATTTTGGACTTTTTGCTGCAAAACGTGTCCAGTAAAAAAATTTATAAATCAAATTTCGTCATAAAATTTCAGCCAAAATGTATTCTGCAACATGTCTTTGCTAAAAAAAAAATCCCAATACGTGTAAATTAAATGGTTTACGTGAAAGTTATAGTGTTTACAAATGGCGGTATAGATACTGGATTTTTAATTTTTTTTATACTAATAATGGCGGCGACCAGCGACTTATGGCGGCAATCAGCGACTTATGGCGGGACTGCGGCGGACATTCTGACACTGGGAGGGGAACGGACTTGCGGGTCATGGACATCCCCAGTGACACCAATACAGTGATCAGTGCAAAAAAAAAAAAAAACACTGACACTGTACTAATGGCACTGGGGAGGAAGGGGTTAACTTTTTTTAGGCAATGAAAGGATTAACTGTGTGAGGGGAGTGTTTTACTAGGGCAGGGGTGTGTGCTTCACAGGAACACACTGATCCCAAGAGATAAAATCCTCTCTCAGGATCAGTGTGCTCAGAACTGACAGGGAGCAGAGCTGCAGTGAAAACACTGCAGCCGTGCTCCCTGTCAGTGATTGCCGGTAATCGCCGGGACCCGGCGGGTAATGACCGTCCGGGACCCGGTGATTGACACCCGCGGCCGCGATTGGCGGCGGCGGGTAGGGCGGCCAGATACCACAGCATACCTTCAGAGGTTTAGTGAAGTCCTTAGTATGACAGGTGTGAGCTGTTTTGGCAGCAAAAGGGGGGACCTACTCAATATTTGGTGGGTCATCATAATGTTATGGCTGATTGGTGTATCGGTTCAGTCTAATGCTGCTATGTACGAGGCGCCTGTGGTGCTATGTAGTGTTATTGATGTAGGTAGTCAGAGTCATAAATTAAGTGATGAACAATCAAATTTATTTAAATACACCCATAAAATGAGTTGTGTGGCTAATCTGCAACTTCTTTAGGTGAGGTAAAGATGAAGAGTTACGTTTCTGTACTTGTAGAAATAAGGCCTAGCATGAGAAAAACAATTAACTAATGCAACCAATGTAAAGATTAGTAAACTGCAATATATTTTGTTTTTGGCTTCAGACATCCTTTACCAATGAATTATGTAACAAATAAGCTCAACAAATATGCAAAACTAAAATAAATCTAATACAAAATATAAAAAGAACTCATCAGGCATCAAACAGGTCATTCAGTTCTAACTAGATTACTCTACCTTTTGTCATTTTTTTTAAAGTATATTAGTTTTGAGGTTTTTATTGCTGTCTATATCCTTCATCATTCACTAATTGTTGAGGCAGAGAAAGGGAGGCGGAATTCAAAACTTTTAGCTGTCTTTAACCACTTGCCCTCCAGAGGATTTACCCCCCTTCCTGACCAGGCAATTTTGTACGATACAACTGAGCGGTCATGCAATGCTGCACCCAAATGAAATGTATGCCCTTTTTTTCCCACAAATAGAGAGCTTTCTATTGGTGGTATTTGAGCGCCTGTGTGGGTTTTATTTTTTCCGCTATAAACATAAAAGCAACAATTTTGAGAAAAACCCCCAATATTTTTAACTTTTTGCTATTAAACATGTCCAGTAGAAAAAAACTCATTTCGTCATTGTAAATTAATTGGTTTACATGAAAGTTATAGCGTTTGCAAATGGTGGTATAGATACTGGAATTTTTTTTTTTAACTAGTAATGGCGGCAATAAGCAACTTATAGCGTAACTGCGGCAGGCACTCTGACACTGGGGAAACTAACTTGGTGTCACTGACATCGCCAGTGACACCAATACAGTGATCAGTGCTAATAAAAAGCACTGACACTGTACTAATGGCACTGGGCAGGAAGGGGTTAACATCTAGGGCGATCAAAGGGGTAACTGTGTGCGGTTTCACTATATGGGCTGCTGTGTGTGCTTTACTGTAAACACACTGCTTTGTATGGCTCTGCTATGCAGAGCCATACAAAGCAGTGTGCAGGAGCTAACAGGGGAGAGATCTGTGTTGTTTATACACAGGTCTCTCCCCTGTCGGCGATACTTGACCATTACCAGGTGTCGGCGAGTAATTGACAGCAGATGCCGTGACTGGCTGTGTGGGTAGGGCACACGTGCACCCCCTACCTGGAACTGTGAAATCACATGTATATATACGTGATTTTGCGCACCCGTGCCGCCCTGTAGCAGTATTTCTGCTATAGGGCTGTGCAGAACCAGTTAAACAAATTAAAGAGGGGAAATCTCCTGGAGGATTCAGTTCCAGAGATGAGATCGTGTCTTGCCTTGTTGCTTGGACATTGCTAGGAGACTCCTAGCCATTGTTACCCATACTAACACAGGAGTGAGCTCTCAAACTCCTGCACATGTGTGGTCCACTATCTCCTCTGTCACAGCATCCCTGAGCTCAGCTACTGCAACAGGGAGAGAAAACACATGAGGGGGGCTTGAATCAGTTGGATGTGTCTTAGCAAAGTCCTAGCAAGAAGGTAGAACAGGATGATGTCATCTCTGGGAGTTGTTCAGTCAAGCTTCAGGATGTAAATAGCCGACACCTATATCAAGGGCATTATTCAACTTTAGACAAAGCAGTACAGTTTGTTTTTAGCTATAGATACCCCCATACCTGCAAGGTAGTTTTTGGTAAAGACAAGCTAGCCCTTTAAGACAAAACAACGTAAAAACAATTATTAGTGTGAAATACTGCATATGGATATTTTGTATTCCCGATTCCCGCCAGCAGGTGGAAATCTGGGCTCTTTTTAAATGTTTTCCTTTTCATCTTCATCCACTTTGCTGAAAAAAATGTATTGTTTGCAAATTATTGCTGAAGCTGAAATATACACACAGAATGGGATGACTCAGAGCACTGGCTCCACCCACATTCTGCCTTCCATGCTCTGTTTGGACAGGATCCTTTGAATGGTTAAGTACAAAGAGTCTGAAGAGAAGTAGCTCCTGCTGTGCTCTCTTCAATGTACACCCATAATGCTTAGTGAATCCCATGTCAAAGGGGCACGATGAAATCTTATATAAAAAGTAACAAACAAAAACAGATTTAAAGCATCAAATATAAAAAAAAAGGTTAATTTTTTTTTTTTTACAAAAGGGTTAAAATAAAAATGCTTCTAAACCATTACAGTTTCTCTAATGAAACCCTAATATGATTTTCACTTATAAATAAATCATTTTGAATACATACAACCTATAATAATTCTTTAATTAGGCTCCAGGGAAAAATTCTAGGTTCATTGACTGTTATTTAAACAAAGAGTAATCATTTTCTTTCAACCTTGAACATCCAAAAGAAGGTATGCCATGCTGTTATGTCTTTATTCTAAAAAAGAAAAAAAAAATGAATAATAAAAATAAAATGTTGGTACATTGTATAATAGCTGGCTGGTAAAGTATTTATTTCATTATAATACATGCTTAGTGCTGTGACTATTATTTGAAGGGTAACTCCACTTTTGTATAAAAAAAATAAAATAATATAGCATATAAAATTGCTACACAAGTCATATAGTAATTAAATGTTATTAAAAATTACCTTTCCTTTTCAATCTGCAGCGCTTGAGTTTTCCGTAAAATGCAATCCATTATGAACACCTGGAGGTATTCTTTACAAAGATGGTGTACAAAACGCCCCCAGAAATGGTATTTCCTGCTTGTGTAATTGGCTTACTGATTTTCCCAGAAGTCTGCACTAAGTCAGATTTTGGGCATTCCCTGCAACAAAAATGTCATATTTAGTGAGATACTCTCAAAGGGGAATAATGTCTAAAGGGATACAGACCCTTCCACTTTCTTCATTATTCTTCAGAATAACAAAAGGTAGCAATCTGCAAGAAAGTTTGTTAAAATCCTTGCAATGTACAAATAGACCTCATGTACATGAGCCTACCCCGACCGCCTGCCGTGGGAAAATGCAAATCTCAGCAAAAACGTAGTATGTTTTGCCACGTTTTTGCATTTTGCATCAGCAGTCAAAACATTCCTATCCTGTACGCGATTCTTCCGAGTTCAGGAGAGGGAGGTTTAACTTCACCTAAATGCAGCAGCTCCTAAACTCTGATAAAAGCTTATGAATACATGGACACCTAGGCTTTTATGGAGTTGACTTTAGGTGCTTTGGCAAAAAATGCCAAAAACTCCTAAACTCGAGTTTAGGAGCTGCTCATGTACATGAAGCCTAAAAGTGGAGTTACTCTTTAATTAACTTAAATGCACTTTATAGTAATGGTGGAATTTCTTAGAACATACAGACTATTTGCTAGAACAGGGGTCTCCAAACTGCAGCCCAAAGGCCAGATGAGGCCCTTTGCTTGCCTTCATCCAGCCCTTGGGGCACTATTCCTTCCACTGAAACCAAAGACAGGGCACTATTCCTCCCACTGACATCAGAGATGGGGAACTAATTCTCCCACTGACACCAGTTATGGGGCTCTATTCCTCCCACGGATACTTATCATAGGGCACTGTTCTTCCCACAGACACCAATTATGACATTTTTTTACTCTTGCTGAACGCCAAGCCTCAGTTGTTTTCTGTTATTTTGAAAGTGGAAATGATGGAAATAAAATCTAACTTTTGTTGACATATTATAAGAATGTCTAATCTGTAATTTGATGCCTTTTGGAGATTTTTCCATCCTTTCTTGGCTTCTTAATGCACATTAATACAAAATTTTAGCCGGGGTACCCAAACTTTCGATCCCCACTGTAACTATAGCTTTCTTTTGGTGGTATTTGATCACCACTGGGTTTTATTTTTTTATCATATAAACGATAAAAAACCAACATTTGTGAAAAAAAAATCCTTACAAAATTAAATAAAACCAATTTATTCATACATTTAGGCCAAAATGTATTCTGCTACATGTCTGATAAAAAAAAATCCCAATAAGTGTATATTAATTGGTTTGTGTGAACATTAGAGTCTACAAACTATGGTAAACATGGTGTATATATGGTCTATGTATATATAGACATGATAAAGACAGCAATGCTTTCTTTGAAGCACAGAGGTTTCCCATGATCACCATTCATTCAGTGCTTGATATGGTAGACTCATGAACACAAAGGTTTCCAAGGTCTAAAGATGCCTACAAATCTGTCAACTATTTGTCTGATTGCATACGGAGAGAGGCCCTAGTCATTTTGTTTACCCTTTTTTTCTATGTTCGAGCAACACTTCTACAAGGCCATCTAAATTTTGTTTTGATTGTACCACATTGTGCTTAAACAGAATTGTGTGTTGTAGACACAATAAAAATTGTGTGGTTTTTTTTTTTTAGAATACCCTCAATTCTGGGCAATTTAATTTGAGTATATATTGGAATAGCATATATCCATAGCATGAGCATATCTTCGGTAAAATCTGCATGTCAAAACAATCAACAAATCCAGAGAATCAGGCAGGTGAATTTATATGCAAATCTTGACTTCGAAAAAAAATTAAAAAATCGGCCAAGCTCACCTTCAACCTTGCTTTACTCTTTATTGGCCATTGAGGCTGCCCATTCAGCCAACTACAAAAAAAAATGGCAATCCTCCCAACCTATAACCAGCCTTAGCAGTAAGGTGCACATGGAAGGGCAATGCACATCGTAAAACAAGCAAAAGATTTCCCAGCAACACTGACCAGCCAGCTTGCAAAACAACCAATTTGGCCTTGTCTAACAGTATGCGTTAAAAACAGAAAGTTTTGTCTGCACACATTTGCAAATACATGCGTAAGGCTGCCCATCGCTTTAAAGTGTTGTAAAAGGACAGAAAGTGTGTACTGTGTTCAAAAAGTGGCAGCTAGGGATGACAGCCCAGAAGCAGAAAGCACTAAAGCAATGATAACCAAGCATAGGTCAGGACCAGATGTGGCCTTCCTGTGTTGATCATGAGGTCCCAAAGCAATTAAAAGGGAAAGTCGTGACTATATTGGTTGTAATACGAGGCAAACTGAGTATCTTCCTGCAGCCTGAACTATACTGGTCTATAGCAGAGCACATTCTTACCTTTCCTCCTGGTCCCTTACTCACCCATCTGAAAAATGTTATATTTTCATCTAATGTCGTTTTTTTTTTTATTTACAGACTTGACATTTTACACAAACCTTTCACACATAGAACAATTCCAATCAAATCTTTCAAATACTAGAGATGGTCAAACTGCTAGCAACAAAGAATTCAAGACGGGCAGCCTATGGTTGGCATGATTGAATAAGATATAGGAGCAATACTTCAGGTGCTATTTTTCTAGTTGTCTGGATATGAAACTAAGCAACTCATTAGCCGCAGCCCTTTGATGAAGGATCTGATAGCATATATTGCTATAATGGAAAACACTGCCTAAAATGTCCTGTTTCCTAGGTCAGGAACTATACCTGACAGGGATTTATTCTTCCTACAGCAGCATTTGTTCTCTTAAGGAAAGCAGGCCTTCCAAAACTTGGTTGTCCCCAGGTCTTAAAACATGATGCAGTGGTTCCAAGCCAGATGACCCCAGGACTGAGCAACTGAGACAAAGAATGTCACCTTTAATACTGAGGCTGGTCAGTCCATAGACAGCAGCTGGTAGCAGAATCCTGGGGCAGTCCAAGGTCAGGGCAGGTAGTGAGCAAGCATAGTCGGAAAACAGTTCAGAGATTAGGGCTGTTAGCAAACAAGCATACTCCAGTAAACAATCCGAAGTAAAGTTGAGGCGGTGATCCAGAGCGCAATCCAGGTAAAAGGCAAATGTCAGCAATAATGGTATCTAATATTATAGCAGTGATCAGACAAGGAAACAAACAAGGAGCTACAAAGCTAATGCTATCACAAGCACAGAGGCATAGGCTGATGAAAAGGTGCCTCCTGCCATAAGGACCAATTCAGCTAGAGGGTATGTGGCCAGACTCATTACCCTGCAGCTTATGGGAACAGCTCAGAGTCTGAAAAGAATTGTTACCCTGAAGCTGATGGGAACAGCTAGG